CTCTCTCTCTCTCTCTCTCTCTCTCTCTCTCTCTCTCTCTCTCTCTCTCTCTCTCTCTCTCCCCTCCCCCGCTGTGAAACTAGCAGGTAAAAAAGCAGACATCATTATCAAGCACACACACAAAAAAGCACACACCAACAAGCAAACACTCACCGACGCATGATCCTATGCAGCGTCTCCGGCGAGACAAATGACGTGGCGTCAATGTTGCCCACGACGTCCACGAACAGCTGTCCGGAGCACGTGGTCTTGCCCACCGAGTTGACCGCCAGGACGGTGTAGTGACCAGTGTCCGAGGCCAGGCCAGAGCGGATCCTCAGGGTGCAGTAGCCGTCCTGGGTGTACTTGATCTCGTACCGTGTGGAAGATTTCACGCGCTTGCCGTCTTTGTACCAGGCGATCTGAGGGGGGAAAGGGGGAGGTGGATATATGAAACAGTTTTTGTTCATGTCTATGAGGGGAAAGGAGGAGGGAGGAGGGGCAGGGGGGGATAAATTTATTAAACAGTTGTAGTAAACGTCTTTGTACCAAGCGATCTGATGGGGGAAAGGGGGAGGGGGGGATAGATAAGACAGTTGTAGTTAACGTAATGGACAGAAGTGATGGTACTAGTTGTGGAAGCAGTGGTTGAAGTGGAGGTGGATGTTTATTGTTGTTGTTATTAATATCACTGTCGTTGTTGTTGTTTTTGTTACCATTCAAAGTCCTCTCGCTGAACATACTATCCGTCTCTTTGACTAGCAACATGTAATTTAAAAAAGGACGTTAAAACTTGGTACAAAAACATGTCGGAGCAACATACAAGGACCCCACTCCCTGGTCCCCCTGCTCCAGTAAAAAAAAAAACCCACAAAAAAAAAGAAAGATATGAACGAAAACAAAAAAAAAACAAGCTTAGGCCCAGGAAGGCTTCAGCACACTGATGTCTTCTTGACCCAGATAACGTTTTCTAGAGAACATCTCGCACTATCAGGAAACACCTAATACTAATATGGTCGCTTTTAAGCACACGGGGGCTATCCCGAAAAATGCTGTTTTGAGAAAATCGAAGATAAACTTTTTGGACCCTTGTTCAGTTTCTTTAAAAGACAAGGAGAATTTTCTCTATAACCAAACAAATATACACACCAAAGAAGCCAAACTTCTTCTTTAGGTAAGGCAATTTTGGAGTAGGTCAAGATTTCTGGAACCCCCGAAATCTGGGTTAGCCCACTTGTCCCGAAAAGCGATCATAATAATAATAATACTAATAATAATACTAATAATAACAGTATTACCACATCACCCAATACAACATATCAAAACTAACTAAGCACAAACACCAAGATCACAAGCAGACCACCCACCTTCGGTCTAGGTTTGCCCGTGACCTTAGCGACAAAGGTCACATCCGTGCCCTCTATGAGCCGGAAGTCCTTGAGTGGCTGGACAATCTCGGGCGCCTGCGCAGACGAGCTGGTCACTCGCTCCTCGGGGTAGTCCGTGTCGTACTCGGTCTCTGTCTCCGACTGGAGTCGGACTTTGCCGTCGCGGTAATCGATTTCGTGCATGAGGCGCTGCTCGAAGCTGGAAACCTTGAACTCCTGGGGGGGGATCAGACATAAGGTTAAAAAGGTCGAACATTTTTAGAAAGCATAAAGTAATATGCAAAATTATATACCGTGCGCATGTATCTAAAGACAACTCACGGGCTCCGAGCGCATTCCTTTGGAACCTATTTAGAAGTCATATTATCATACACTATCGCATACTCTGTCTCTGTTACTGGAGCTGCAACTGCCAAGGTCCGAACTCATTCCATTTGGAAATGTTTAGAAGGCATAATATACACTATTATACGTGAGGCAGCGTGGTGGAATCAGGCTCTCGTCAAAATAATCAAAGTGAAGAAACTTGCCTTTTTCCGCAGGTTTGTG